TTGTCCTGGAAGTTTTTTTTCTCTCCTTCTATTTTCTTTGCCAGCCTAGCTGGATATAGTATTCTTGGCTGCACAGTTTTCTCGTTTCATGTTCTGAATAATATCATGCTGGTCCTTTCTGACCTGCCAGGTCTCTGTGGATAGGTCTGCTGCCAATCTACTATTTCTACTGTTCTAGGTACATACTTCTTGTCCTGAGCTGCTTTCAAGATTTTCTCTTTGTCTCTGAGACTTAAAAGTTTTACTATTAGATGATGGGGTGTTGACCTATTTTTATTGATTTTGAGGGGGTTCTCTGTGCCTCCTGGATTTTGATGCTTGTTTCCTTCACCAAATTAAGGATATTCTCTACTATAATTTGCTCCAATATAGCTTCCACCCCTCTCTCTTTCTTCTTCTTCTGAGAACCCACTTATTGTAATATTGTTTTACCTTATGGTATCACTTATCTCTCAAATTCTTCCCTCATGATCCAGCAGTTGTTTTCCTCTCTTTTCTTCAGCTTCTTTATTCTTCATCATTTGGTCTTCTATATCACTAATTTTCTCTTCTGCCTCATTTATCCTAGCAGTAAGAGCCTCCATTTTTTATTGCACCTCATTTTTTTTTTTAGTAGGCAGAGAGGCAGGCATAGAGAGAGAGGAAGGGAAGCAGGCTCCCCACTGAGCAGAGAGCCTGATGCAGGGCTCAATCCCAGGACCCTGAGATCATGACCTGAGCCAAAGGCAGAGGCTTTAGGCTCCCCTTTATTGCACCTCATTAATAGCTTTTGTAATTTCAACTTGGTTAGATTTTAGTTCTGTTATTTCCCCAGAAGGGGATTTTATTCTCAAGAGAGGTATTCTATATTATCTTCCATGATAGATAGATAGATAGATAGATAGATAGATATAGATATAGATATATAGATATATATATTAGACTGGTGAATAGAACAGAGCCACACACTTGATTTGGGGTGTATTTTGGTCTGTTAGAAGAAACTGCTCCCAAATTTTTAAAGAAGGAAAAATTTATATATATATATATACATATATATACACAACTTGTATATATACATACAAGAATAAGGGCAAACATGATGAAGGGATGGAGTATGACTGTAAAGGTAAATATTTTAAAAGGTTATAAAAAAGGAATTGATAAGATAAGAAGTTGGTTGAAAAATGAAAAAAAAAAAAAAGAGGGAAGAATGTGATGAGGCTGGAGACTAGAACAAAGCCATGCACTAGACTTAGTGTATATTTTGATCTCTTAGAAGAAACTGTATCCCAAATTTTTTAAGAAAGAAAAACCTATATGTATACAAAAATAAGATTAAATGCAATGAAGGGATAGAATATGACTCTAACAATGAAAATTTGAAAAGATTTTTTTAAAAAGGTATTGATAAGATAAAATAGTTTAAAAAGGTTAAAATAGGAAAGAGGAAAATTTTTAAAAATAGAGTAAGAGAAAAATAAAATTTAAGAAATTTAACTTTGCAAAACTAAAGAATCATGGTGGGGGAAGCCATGAATTCCATCTGCTGTGCTCAGATATTTCTGACATTTTGCAGTTCTCATTGATTGGTGAACTTGCTCTTGGCTGAATGTTCTTGCTGATCTTCTGGGGGAGGAGCCTGTTGCAGTGATTCTCAAATGTCTTTGCCCAAGGCAGAATTGTACTGCCCTTGCCAGGGGCCAGGCTAATTAATCTGCTTGGGTTCTGCCTCAGTAGCTTTAATTCCCTGACCACTTCTGAACAGCTTTGGAGGATGGGAATGAAAATGGCAGCCTCCAAATCTCCAGCCCTGTAGGAGCCAAGAGCTCGGGGCCCCCCTCCTCAGTGCACCCTTAGAGGAAAACAGTCAATCCTTCCTGTCTCCCTGGTCTCCAGCCAACTCCATGCTCACCCAGCCTGTGACCGAGTGTTTCCATCTCCGGCACTCAGCCCCATTTGGAGTCTCCAAACTCAGCTGCTTCCTGCCATATGCTCTCACACCACTCCTACCGGAGGAGGAAAGAGGGGTGTCTTTTCAGATCTGCCACTTATGGGGTCCCTGCTTGAAAAGCGGTGGCCCAACTGTGCCTTGGATCATGGTTTAAGGTAACCCCACGCTAAGAGCCCACGCCTTGGCTCCATCTCTGCAGTCAGCTTCCCCATTCCAATACCTGGTAGCTCTGCCACACTCAGACACCACTGGTCTTTTTGTATCCCAACAAGTCATGAGACCACACTGTCCCCCATGAGGGCTCCATCCCCTGCTTAGCCTCTGGAGTGATGTCCCTCAGTGGAGCAGACTTCTAAAAGTTCCGATTTTGTGTTCCACTATTCTACCTCTTGCTGGGAGCCAGCCCCTGCCCCCACAGTCTATCTTCCCATATGTTGCCTCAGAGTCACTTCTCCACATGTCCTACCTTCCAGTAAGTGGTCGCTTTTCTGTTCATAGAACTGCCATTCTTTTCATCAATCTCCTGTTGAGTTTGTAGCTGTTCAGAGTGGTTTGATAACTATCTAGCTGAATTCTTGGGACCAGACAAAATTTAGGTCTCCTATTCCTCTGCCATGTTGCTCCTCCTCTCCTCAGTCACCAAAGTTTTTCTGATGCAATTATTTTTCATATTTTCAAGAATATATGAAACCTTAACTTACCAAAATAAAAAACAATAACAAAATTTATAGTGCTACCAATACACTCATGAAGTGAATGCAACCTCATGAAGTGGGTACTCTATCATCCTCATTTTTACAGATGAGCAAACTGAGACCCAGAGAACTGTACCCCATAATAATATGGGGGCTAGAATGAAAAGGGTGAGTGGCAATAAAATGGGAGTTAGAAAAGTCTAACTAGCCTGATGCTCTGACCACAGAGGTCTTTTCAGATGAATCAGTTTTAAGCACAGGATGAAGATCCAAAAATGATTCCATTCAAAGTTCATTGTGTTAGGCCAATAGTGCAAAAGCATGAGATCTGAAAGGGACAGCACTAATTCTGTCCACTTCTTAGACTCTGTTTGGATCAAACATTCTTGGTGAGCTGTGACTTTGTCAAGTTAAAATATGTGTGGTCCATGTAAGTACATTCCATGATGAAAGTTAAGTAATGATGTTTCCAAACTACACACACACACACACACACACACACTCTAGGTACTGAGAGTAGCAAGGTACTCACAGCCTAACCATGTGAATTAATCACAAGCTAAATTTGTTTACTGTGTTTTTTTTCTTTCCATTTTCCTCTGTGTTGAAGTGCCCATTGCTTTGAGTCATTTGTTGTTTATCTTTGGAAATCAAAATTTTTACTTAAATGATATGCCTGGTAATAATATTTTAATAACTTTATTGAAATAGAATATACATAAGATAGGGTTCACTTGTTTAAAGTAGATGCCAGTGTGTGGGGGCACCTGGCCGGCTCAGTCAGTTAAGCGTCTGCCTTCAGCTCAGGTCATGATCCCAGTGTCCTATAGTGGAACTCCATAGGACTCCCTGCTCAGCAGGAGTCTGATTCTCCCTCTTTCCCTGCCACTCCCCCCACCCACGCTCTCTCTTGCTCTGTGGTCTCTCTTAAATAAATGAAGTCTTTAAAAAATAGATGTCAATGATTTTTATTACATTTACAGAGCTGTAGTTGCCAAACCCTTTCACTATGCAGATTTAAACCTTCTCTATTTTTCTTTTACTTCTTCTAATGAATCTCTTTGTTTTTTCTGTTTTGAACCTTATTACTTGCATGTTAGTCTTCCTGAATTTATTCTCCAAGTGTCTTCTATTTTCTGGGTGATTTTCATCTCTGTATTGTTTTGTATAATTAAGTTATTTTTCCCACTTACTCTTCCAGGATACTAATTTTTTTCCAGGTTACTAATTTTATTCATAACAATGGCCAGCCTCTTTCCATTTATCTATTACAATTTTAAACTTGAAAATTAATGTTTACAATTTTTAATTATCTAAATGGTTTCCCTTGCCGGACTTTCACAGTATGCTTTCCACTGTTTACACCAGTGGAAGACATCTTTTCAGGCTGCTCAACTCAGCATCTCCTTTTGGTGCTGAATACCTTTAAGTGAAATGGTGATGATGATGGTCCTGAATAGGGCTTAGTATGGCCTCATTGATCATCCACTGACTTGCTCACATTAGAAAAACCAAGTAAGTATTGGAAGGCAGAGCAGGATCCACTGCTACAGGTTGGGGTGAATCCTCTAATAAACTACTAATCCTGTCTGAGGGCTCTGCCCCAGTGGGATTTCTGTCACTGCCTTGTGGATTTGGGGCAACTCAACCTTCCAAAGTAGCTCCTCTCCATCCTTCAAGACCTGTAGGTGGATTTCACCCCTGTACCCATGAAAGTGATATGTTCAGCTCTTCTGGGAGGGGACTCACGAGAATCACAGGCTTTACCACAGGTGTCTCTGCTCTGAACCTCTTGAAAGATTAGACCTTGGAGGTTAAAGCTTAAAGGTTAAAGCTGAAAAGTCTTTCTCTTGGTAAAAGGAAACACTCTCTGCTTCTGAAAGGAACACTGTGAGAGAGAAAAGTATCAGATTGTACCTCTATTCTGACAAGGAGACCAGGTCTAGAGCAAAGGTAAATGCCCAAGAAACTATGATTTTGAGTGAATGTGCCCTGTCCCACAGCACATGTAATTGCAACTGTCCACTTCATCCTGCTCTGGGTTCTCTATGTACCATGTCATAATCTCTGTGTATCACATGCCTAAGCAGTGAGCCTGTAGAATCCTGGCACCTGCCCTCCCTTCTCATTTCTCCCAGTTCAATTCCCTTATCAGTCTGGTGAGTCTCAGAAACACAGTGTTTCTGTTGGGACAAGAAGGATTAGAGAAAGGGGTAAGGCAGGAATGAAATCTCTGGATTTTACTATGGAGATTTTGAATGCCAAGGGGTTCTGGCGTGGAGGTTCTCTCATAGAACAGGGAAATTCAACTCAGCACTGTAGACATTCACTCATGTGCATACAAGATTCCATCATGTATTTTGGATGTGTTTATTTCTTAGATAATTGACCAATAGAATGTCCTCTTTCCACAGTTTAGTAAAAGCAAGAGACAGGGAGTGTCTTCCCCAGGGCTGTCAGAGACCCAGACAAAACTGGGAGGGGACTCCTGAGGACAAATAAAAGGACACTCAGGTCTCTGGTCTCCCTGGTTGGCTTCCTCCTTGAAAAAGGTGGCACTCTGGCTTCAGGGGCCATTCAGGGCCCATTGTATCCCCTTCTCATCTCCATGGCTACTGAAGATACTGGTCTCCTCCAGAACCAGTTAGGGCCCCAGCTAGGCCTGTGGTGGACTCCATGATTCCCTCCAGGGCCCAGGCCAAGGTTGGGGCCATGGGGGTGGTAGACAGCTGTGTCAAAGACGTTTCTCAGGGACAGGGAATTTCTCTAGAAAAAGAAGGGCAAATCATTTCAGAATCATATCCCCTTATCCCAAGCCTTAACATGGACTTGTTCTGGAATCTTCTTTCCCTTCGTATCATCTCCTTCACCTAGTACTTCTTCCTCTACACTTTATTCCTTCTTTTGACTCTTTTCCTGCAAGTCAATAGTTTGCTCAGCACATTGATTGGCTCTTCCAGTTCTAACTTGCTACTTCTCTTTTGTAACATACTCCTGGTCTTTCTTTGCCCCCAACTTGGTGGCCCTACTATCCATACCCCATTTCCTCATGTTCCTGCTACTCCCTCCCCATACACTTTCCTACATATTAGGCAGGCACTCACCACACAGAAGAAGAGCCCAGCAAAGAATCCCACAGCCACTACAACCGAGACAAGAGTAATGAGGAAGATTTCCCATGGTTTCAGGGACCCACTGGGTATCATTTCATTCACTGGAGTAGTAGCACTTGTGCCAACCCTATGGGAAGTTGTGTGTGTTCCAGTTGGAGAATGTGTGCTAGAGCCTCCTGTGGTTGCACTAGATGCAGTGTTGGCAGCTATGCTGGTCCCAATGGAAGTCACACTAGATCCAGTGTTGGAGGCTACACTGGTCCTGCTGGAAGTCACACTGGATCCAGGGTTGGAGGCTGTGCTGGTCCCACTGGGGTTTGTGTTGGATCCAGTACTAGAGACTTTGCTGGATCCACTGGAGGTCACACTGGATTCAGTGCTGGAGGCTGTGCTAGATTCAGTACTGGAGGTTGTGCTGGACCCACTGGAGGTCACACTGGGTCCAGTTTGGGTGGCTATACTAGTCCTGCCAGAGGTTGTGCTAGATCCAGTWTTGACAGGTGTGCTGGTCCCTCCAGAGGCTGTGCTAGATTCAATACTGGAGATTGTGCTAGACCCACTGGAGGTCACACTGGATTCAGTGCTGGAGGCTGTGCTGGTCCCTCCAGAGGCTGTGCTAGATTCAGTACTGGAGGTTGTGCTGGACCCACTGGAGGTCACACTGGATCCAGTGCTGGAGGCTGTACTGGTTCCACTAGAGGTCACACTAGATCCAGTGTTGGAGACTATACTTGTTCCACCAGAGGTTGTGCTAAATCCAGTACTGACAAGTGTGCTCGTCCCTCCAGAGATTGTGTTGTGTTCATTCTCACCTGATGTGGTTCTTTCACCTGTTGATAATCCTAAATGATGACAAACATATACTGAGCATAAATACTTTCTGGTTCAATGCTTGTTTAAATTCATTACATGAATAATTCTACTGGATGCTCACCATAGCCCTATGAACTAGATACTACTATTATCAACAACTAAGATGAAGAAATTGAGGCTTAGAAATGTTAACATTTGTCCGTATTTATGCAGATAGTAAGTAGTCGAGCAGGAGTTTATACTTAGGGTACTGGATCTGCACTTTCGGCTACCATGCTAAATTGCCCTCTCCACCCAGCCCCAACACCAGGATTATATAACCTAGTTCCACTGGTAGTAAGCTTATTCTATATTCTACTATATAAGACCCAATACAGATAAGAAGTATTATAAAGGAATTGTAGAAGCCCTGTGAAACTAGTATATATTGATTAATTCATTCTTAAAGTAGTATTGCTCCCTTCCGAAAAAATATTTTTCAGTTTTATTCAGAAAACATCTATTTCAGAATTGTCTGAGTAGCTTATTAATAAAAAAGATTCCTAGGCAAACTATTCTAGATTGAATTAATCAGAGTTTGAGATGTGGCCTTTCAACAAGGAACTGAGTGAGTCTATATGCATTCAGTTTCCAGGGTCTACTGATCTCTATGGCAGAGGCTGGAGAAGCACAAGTCATATATAGCTTAAAAGCACAAGATCTCCCAGGACAAATGGCTATAAGGTGTAGGGAATTTTTCAACCTTCTTGGAGACTCGGACAGAATTAATGTTGTGTCTATTTTTTGCTCCTCACAATACTGAAGGACAAAGATACTCAACTTAGTCAAAATTAATTTGTGGATCATTTTACCACTAACTGGAATATGGGCGCCTATCACTTCATTCCACACATACGTATTTTTTCTTTGGGCTTAATTGAACTAACATAGGGTTAGAGTTTTAGCTCTATTTTGGGAAGCCCCCCCCCCTTTTCAGCAGTGTGGTACAAATTGGGGTTAAGATCAGAATCTTGAATAAAACTATAAAGAAACTGAGATGACCAAGAGAAAGAATGACACCACAGTCAACTCTTCCCATTCTTAGTAGTTAAACCCCCAGCCAACCACACAGGTTATTATAATTTTATAAATGCAGAAACTGAGGCACAGAGAAATTAAACAAGTCACCTGAAGTACACAGGTAACAGTGGAGCCATGACCCATACACAGGCAGTCTGAGACCAGAGTCTACAGTTTTAACCACTGTGCTCTGACTGCCTCCTGGGTGATACCCAACTAGACTAAAGTGATTGGGGTAAAATGACGATTCCTCACTCTATAGAAGAGAATCAGAGCTAGTCCTGGCAGTGGCCAGCATCTCCCAAAGCACTTTGAAGCTTCTGAGATCACCCAGTTTTAGAGGAAATCACTTACCGGTTTCTAAAAGTAGGAGATGCAATAGTAACCAATACTTAAGGAGACTGTTTCCTTTCTGCATCTTGATCTTCTTCATTGTTGGAAAGTAAAGTGCCTGAATCCCAGTTGTGGCCATCTAGAAGGCAAAGAACAGAATTCTTGAAAAACGAGAGTTCAAGGTGAAGAGATTCCAGGAGCTTGGGTCTACTAGTCACTTGTTTTGGGGAAGAGCTTTGAGCTTGGGTAGAAGACTAGATGCCTACTTAAGCTTCCTCCATGCAAGGTTCTTGCCTTTTTCTTTATTATGGAAGAGCTGCAGGGACCTTTATAGCTTCATATGTGTTGGGGAGGAGTTCAGAAGTTTATTTGTTCTTCTGCCAACTGTGAGCAGTTAAAAAACAATACTGAATTTGAGAAGGAATAGACTAGGGGTCAAGAGGAAGGTGAGAAAGGAGAATGACATGATCACACTAGTCAGGGCACAGGACTGGCTGGGTCAGAGCAGGAAGTAAAATGGCATGAGAAGATCAAATTTGCCAGAGTGGAAGGGACCCACCCTCTAATGCAGGGATGGGGCCAGAAACCTGTTCTACTGCAAGACGTTGTTTCCTGGTCAAGAAGTTCTGTGTGGCTGTTTTGGTAAGGAAAAAGCCCTAATGAAATGAGCTAAGTGGGTGGTACCCCACATCTCTGAAGCAAATGGAAATAGAATCAAAAAAGAACAGTAATTAGAGGTCTGGGCTTCTGGACTACAGGCAGAAGACAGATGGAACATTGCTGGGTATGCAGTAGGCACTCAACAATGCACATTGAATAAACAGGGAAAGAGAGATCCAGGGGTTGATGAAGACATCTTTGGGATCTCTGGGGCATGATGGTTGAGAGCATGGGGAATGTTGAATGTGTAGAACAAGCCATCTGTCAGGCTTATAGCAGGTGAAGGGGTGGTATAGGGTCCCATTCTGATCCTCCACCATAGGAATTTCCCTCTTGTTTGTTTTCAGAGAAATCTGAGGGACCTCTTCTCCCCTGGAGTCCTTCAGGTGTTCCTTCTCATCAGCCTAATGAAGCATCTCTCAGTAGAGTATACCACAGATAACACATTAGGAAACTTCAAGTCTGTTGGGGAGGAGGATATATAGTCCAAGTCCTCTAGAAACGTCATGCTGGTCTGGACACAGATGTAATAACAAAAGATACATAGTCAGCTAAACAAGTATGACTGAAGAGACCCAAATGAGGAGAGGGTTTTGGGAGTTCATGGGGAAGGCATCTTGTATCCAGGGCCAAGGAGTTGATAGATGGAAATTTCAGTGCACAGTCTGTGTGACCAAAGGCAGATGTCTTCATAACTGTTAATAAGAAGCTTTGTGGAAGAAGCAACATCTCAGTTTATTTGTGGGTGATTGAGTATTCTTGACATTTAAGACCTGTTTGAAAGAAACAGGAGGTGGCTGGAGACATGAAGGAATTTATGAGTGAGTCTGAGAGTCAGGAGGGGACAGAGTGTGCTGGAAAAGGCTGATGCAGATCTGCCTAATGGCTGTGAGGCTGAAGCAGTTCTGAGGTGGAATTATGAGGAATCATTCAATGACTGGTTAGGCTTTAGACTCCTAGCAATTGCATTTTATGGCTAAGAGGCCAAAAACACTCTAAGAAATCCTTTTTTTCCCCTCTCTAGAATTATTTGGAGGCAGAGGTCCTGAATTCAAGTCCAGATTCCACCTTCTAGACATAATCTTAAAATTATTTTGCGCACATACTTAACGGAGACTGTATGTAATTAATATCTTTACTGTCATTCAAAACAACACAAGAACCTTGGAACTTTAGTTATTACTACCCAATTCTTAACTCATACCTTAATCTTATCAAGTGTTTTAATTCTGTCTTGGCGTTTTTTTAAATCTTAATTTAATTTTATTTTTTTCAGTGTTCCAAGATCCATTGTTTATCCACTACACCCAGTGCTCCATGCAATATATGCCCTCCTTAATACCCACCACCAGGCTCACCCATCCACCACCTTCCTCCCCTCCATAACCCTCAGTTTGTTTCTCAGAGTTCACAGTCTCTCATCTTTCATCTCCCCCTCCAATTTACCCCAATTCACTTTTACTTTCCTTCTCTTAATGTCCTCAATGTTATTCCTTACACTTCACAAGTAAGTGAAACCATATGATTATTGACTTTCTCTGCTTGACTTATTTCACTCAGCATAATCTCCTCCAGTCCCATCCATGTTGATACAAAAGCTAGGAATTCATCCTTTCTAATGGAGTGTAATATTCCATCGTATATATGGACCACATCTTCTTTATCCATTCATTGGCTGAAGGGCATCTTGGCTCTTTCCACAGTTTGGTGGTTGTGGCTGTTGCTGCTATGAACATTGGGGTATAGATGGCCCTTCTTTTCACTACATCTGTGTAAATACCCAGTAGTGCAATTGCAGGGTCATAAGGTAGCTCTATTTTTAATGTTTTGAGGAATCTCCACATTCTTTTCCAAAGTGGGTGTACCAACTTGCATTCCCACCAACAGTGTAAGAGGGTTCTCCCTTTCTCCCCCTTCTCCCCTTTCCTGTCCTATTGATTTTGCCAATTCTAACTGGTGTAAAGTGGTATCTCAATGTGTTTTTTTTTAAAGATTTTATTTATTTATTTGACAGACAGAGATCACAAGTAGGCAGAGAGGCAGGCAGAGAGAGGGAGAGGAAGAAGCAGGCTCCCCGCTGAGCAGAGAGCCCAAAGCAGGGCTTGATCCCAGGACCCTGGAATCATGACCTGAGCTGAAGGCAGAGGCCTTAACCCACTGAGCCACCCAGGTTCCCCTCTCAGTGTGGTTTTGATCTGAATCTCCCTTATGGCTAGTGACAATGAACATTTTTTCATGTGTCTATTAGCCATTTGTATGTCTTCTTTGGAGAAGTGTCTGTTCATGTCTTCTGCCCATTTTTTGACATGATTATCTGTTTTGTGTGTGTTGAGTTTGAGGAGTTCTTTATAGATCTTGGATAACAGCCCTTTTTATGTAGTGTCATTTGCAAATATCTTCTCCCATTCCGTGGGTTGCCTCTTTCCTTTGCTGTGCAGAAGCTTTTTACCTTGATGAAGTCCCAAAAGTTCATTTTCACTTTTGTTTCCTTTGCCTTTGGAGACATTTCTTGAAAGAAGTTGCTGTGGCTGATGTTGAAGAGCTTACTGCCTATGTTCTCCTCTAGGATTTTGATAGATTCTTGCCTCATGTTGAGGTCTTTCATCCATTTCGAGTTTATCTTTGTGTATGGTGTGAGAGAATGGTCAAGTTCTGTCTTGGTTTTTAATTTCATGAGTGATTATTGTTATTCACTTACACACTATAAGCCAGAACATAGTCATATAGCCAAAATAAGCTGAGATACTGGAGAATATGGTGAGTAGCAGAGTGGGCATGTGCTTGACTGAAACTTGAGAATATGATTGTTAAAGATGGAGAATGGATATTAGCAGACAATCAGAAGACTATGACACACATTTAAATCTACTTGCTTTTTTTTCTGTATTTAATAATTCAATTTTTGTGGATCTGATCCTGCTGTTCTGTGTTTTGTTTCTTGCTGGATTTCACTGATGCTTTATGACTGAGATGGTTTTACTAGAGGCTTAAGGCTGAGTTTATTTTCCTGGCAATGCTATCTATAGAAGTAATTTGAAGCCTTGGATGAGGGCATGATCTTCCACAGAGAATTTGCATGTTTTGGCCAAGCATATAGATGCATTACCATTTGAGGATTCTCATAAATTAAATGATAGGTTTTGAGGTCTTTGAATAACCCATGATTTGGAACTGCAAACCATGTAAAGTATTGTTGTGGTTACAAGTTATTTCCCAAGAGATGCTTCCCACTCTCCTCCCTTCCTCTTTACTAAGTTTAGAGATAGATAATTTGCTTGCATTTCCTTAGAGGAAGAGTGGGTTTATTTTTAGTTTACACTTTCCCTGAAGGTTTCAGATTTATGGGAGGGTCTACAGGGAGACTCCCCACCCATGCTGGTCTGACTGAGGCTATACTACTTGAAGATTAAGTTCACTGGGTTTGGCAAATGTTGACTTTAGTACTCCTCTTACCTCCTTGGATTCCCACCTGAACCCAGTCTTTTTTTTTTTTTCAAAGATTTTATTTATTTATTTGACAGACAGAGATCACAAGTAGGCAGAGAGGCAGAGAGACAGGCAGAGAGAGAGGAAGGGAAGCAGGCTCCCTGCTGAGCAGAGAGCCCAATGCAGGACTCCATCCCAGGACCCTGGGATCATGACCTGAGCCGAAAGCAGAGGCTTTAACCCACTGAACCACCCTGGCACTCCTGAACTTAGTTTTTAATTCTAGCATTCCTTACTTTTCCACCAACTCATTGATTCATTTAGGGAGATATTTTTAAAAGTCATCCATAGTCATTCATTCCCATTCAAGTACTGCCTAGAAGTTGACAGCATTGTGTATTTTAAGGCAGATGTTTCCTTTTAGAGACGATGGATGCCCTAGTTATTTAAACTTTTTTTTTTTTTTTTTTTTGGTCAGAGAGAGTGAGCACAGGCAGACAGAGTGGCAGGCAGAGGCAGAGGGAGAAGCAGGCTTCCTGCTGAGCAAGGAGCCCGATGTGGGACTCCATCCCAGGACGCTGGGATCACGACCCGAGCTGAAGACAGCCCCTTAACCAACTGAGCCACTCAGGCATCCCTGGATGCCCTAGTTATTAAAGCTGATTTAATCAATAAATCAATAAAGTTCACATATAATCAAACAAAAAAGATACTTTAGTAAACCATTTTAAGTTTTTCAGGATATATTAAGTCACGCACCTAGAGCATCACAGAGTCAGAAATTTAAGTTCTCACTGAATTGTTTTGAGAAAAAAATGATGGTGTATTTAAAGGGACTAACACAGTATTTGACACATAGTAAGCATGCAATTATAAAGGCCAAAGGAAAAACAAAAAGAAAAACATAAAAACATCTGTATATAGTAGCCAGTGTATTTTATAATTTCAAGTTGTAGCACATCCCTTTCTCCTTCTTGCCACATGGCTTTTGGAAGAGACAAAGAAGTAGGAAAGAAGA